TGATGTTTCTGACGGGCAGCTGCCCTGGAATCCACAGTCAGCTGGGAACTCCCATTGGCGTTTCCCTAGAACCCGGGCTCTGCTGCTTTGAAACCCCAAGGCAACATTTCAAACAGGCAGCTGCCCTGGAGTCCATGGTCAGTTGGGGATTCCCAGCGGCATTTCCCCAGAATCCAGGATCAGCTGGGGAGTCCAAGGCATCGTTTCAAAGGCACAGCTGCTGCAGGGCATCTGCTCCTTTGAAATGCCACCTCTGCGCGTTTCAAAGGTGCAATGGAGCCTGGGGTCACCTGGGGACTCCCCAACTGATCCAGGGCTCCGCGAGGCACTTCCCGAGAACTTGGGGCCGATTCTGGGGAAGTGCTGCGCGGAGCCTGGGGTCAGCTGGGGAGTCCTCAGTTGACCCCAGGCTTCTAGTAGCATGCAGCATTCAGCACTCAAAGTCCCCCACTGAACCCGGGCTCCGTGGCTTTGAAATGCACAAGAGCCCCTGCTGGGGACTTTTGTGCATTTCAAAGCAGGCACCCGTGTATAGCCCGGAGTCAGTGGGACCTCCCGCTGGCCCCAGGCTGTACGTGAAGTTCCGCATTCCTCCTCTGAAATGTACAAGAGCCCCAGCGGACACTTCAAAGGAGGAATGTGCAAGTGCCTATCGATTAGTCAGTTAACCTCATTTTAACATCTTTACTCTGGACTAGCACTCCGAGTGAAGCTATGGAATCCCCCACATTGAAGCTTTTCAAGGACTGGTTGAACAATCACCTTTCGGGGTGGCCTAGGTATACTTGGTCCGGCTTCGATGCAAGGGTTTTGGACTTGATGACCTCTCAAAGATTTGGAAGGAACATCATTTCTGTAATTGTATGATTCTCTGATGCGTGTATTTTCTAGATGAAAATAATTACTGTCTCTCTTACTGAGTGTCAAATTTGATGAAGCCGTATAGAAAATGTTGCTTATTTTTCTCCTTCCTCTAATTCAGGCCTGGGCATAATCTGGCCAGCGGGCCAAATCCAGCTCGCTAAGCCACCAGATCCAGCCCACAGAGGCGGCAGGGAGCCCCAGGCAGGCTCCTCAGCTTGCCCTGCAACCCCACGCCATACAGGGCTCCGTTTGTTTTAAAACTGGAGGGAAGTTTTAGGAGCTGCTCCACCCCCAGCACGTTCCCATTGGCCGGTGTCTCAGCCAATGTGAGTTGCTTGTTGGGAGTTACAGGCAGCTAAGAAAGAATCTCACCCCCTCTCCTGGGTTCAGTTGCTCATGAAGCGCATGGCCCAGCAAGCAGCCAGGCTGGCTGGGGAACATTTTAAGCTCTGCAGGCAGGGAAGTCTCTTGGCCGCAGCCTGCTTTTGGCACCGCAGCCCTTTCCTGCCCCAACTCTCTGCCCCCCTCTCCTTCAACCCATCCCTCTATCCCCCTCTTACACACATACCCCCTTCCAGATCTGGCACCCTAGTCTCCTGCCCCAGATCACAATCCTTTCCTATTCTAGGTCACATCCCAGGCCCCTGCACTTCAGTCCCCTGCCCTAGGTCATCTAGGTCACATCCCAGACCCCTGCACTTCAGTCCCCTGCCCTAGGTCACAACAGCCTGCTTTATCCCAACTCCCTCCCAGACTCCAGTCTCCCTCCTGCACCCCAGTCCCTTACCCCAACCTCCCTTCTGCATCCAACCTCCTTCCCAGACCCTGCATTTCTATTAATATAATGGAAGAGTGCAGCCCTCGACCACTTTCCAAAATCTTGGTGCCCCCCCCCATCAAAAATTATTTCCCACCCCTCTTCTACTTCCTTAAAAAAACCAAAACAACAATCATCCCAAACAAATAAACCTTTATCTACCTCACAATATTTGACGATTGACTGCCCTCAACATTTATGCAAGTGTGTAAACAACCTTGGGGAGGATGCAGATATTATTTCTCATTAATGGTGCCATTTGGAGTATGATGGTACACAGTAGCTCATTCACATCATTGTTTGTTATTTTTGCGAACGTATTTTGTTTTTGGGCAAAGGTTGTCAAATGAGTAGCCTATACGTCTCAGGGTGTCCCTAAACCACGTTCATATGGGCATGCAGAGTTTTGGCAATAATAGAAAGGAACTTTTTCATATTCAAGGCACTTATTTATAAGGTTTAAGGAAATGGACTTTCTGCTCTTTGGAAAAAAGATTAAGAGGAGACCACATCAAGGCACATAATTCTGTAGGTAGTGGCCTAATGCCAAATAAAAAAAATGAACATGAATATGAGCTAAAAAGCCCATGTTTAAAAAAATAAAGAAAATTACATCTTTTCTAAGTATAGCAATTTGTGAATTATAGTACCAGTGGGTGTAATGTATAAAAAGAGGACTCGCATCTTGAACGGCAAAGAATAGAATCCGAAATAGGTGATCGGGGTGGGAGGGTATACTCTGAGAAGTCTTAAGTGCTGCTTCTACTTTCTTCTGAAATGAAGGAACTACTGAGACTTCTATTTTGACACTGCTTCTCTTTGTGTGAAACAATGTTTCTGTAATCTAAAGGAAAACTCGTGTGTGTTTTGACTGCATCATTGATTGTGCGATAGATTAAATGCATTGATGCTGCTAGAATAATTTGGGGGACCTTGGGAAATCACTTAATGGAATTTGGTCCATGTCTGCATAATCTTTTTGCTGGAGTAATTGAAGATGCTGCTTAATAAACTTTATAAAAACTCCCAGTTGGTTGATGTGTTTCAGAGGGTTGGGTCTGAGCACAAAAATGACACACATTCTAACTGCCTTCTCCCACCCTTCCAATCTCCACCCATTTTAAACTTTTTATTAAACATTTTCCTTGGGGAAGACTTTAATATACTGTAATTCTGGTACCTTTCATAAAGTGACCCTGCACAGCATAATTTGTTCTCGGGAGCTCTGTTGATAACTTGTACGTTCAGTGGAAATTCTGACACCTTGCCTCTTTCACTCTTTTTTTTTAAGCCTATTAAAACAGTATTTGATATTCCATTGCCAGTGATGAACTTGTAGATATTGACTTCTGTGTTTGGCTTGGGAATATATACAAAGCTGGTGTTTTACTGGCTAAATGATATAAAATATATTTGCACATATGTGTAACGTATACATGTATTTTAATAAAAATATTATTATAAACATTTCCATTAATGTTAAGGATTGTGATATTACATTCTGCTTGTGTTAAAGACTCCCTGTGCTAATGTAATGAATATTGAAGTTCTGGGAATAATAATAATTTTCACTCAAATAGCTCCTTTCATTTAATGCTGTCAGGTCACTTTCCAACTTTTAAGAATGTCAACATAGTTGTTAAGGCCTTTTTGCAGGTGAATACACTAAGATGGACCTTCCCAAAAGTAATAAAGTGTATCAGTGACAGAAAGGAATAGAGTTGAGAGTTTTTGAACAAGAATTCCTTTAAAAAACAATACAGAGTATGTAGATTTTAAGCATGAGATTTTAATTAGCTTTATTCCTTGTCTTGCTTAATTTCAGAGGTAATGCTGTTAAGTTTTGGGTATGATGTTGGGATATTGAATTTATATATCCATGTAACTGAGAGATGTTGATATTGAGAAATGTTGGAGATTGTTCATATTGATGGATGTCAGGGATATGTGTGTGTCTATCTCAATATATAACCTGTGGCATTGATATTGCGTATGTACAGGCAGTCCCCGGGTTACGTAAAAGATAGGGACTGTAGGTTTGTTCTTAAGTTGAATCTGTATGTAAGTCGGAACTGGCGTCCAGATTCAGCCGCTGCTGAAAGTGACCAGTGGCTGACTACATGGAGCCCGAGGCAGAGTTGCTCTGCCCCGGCTTCCTGGAATCAGCCGCTGACCAGTTTCAGCAGCAGCTGACTTGGGGACGCCTGGGTTTCTTAAGTTGAATCTGGTGGGAAGTCAGAACTGGCATC